CCGCCATGTGGCATTAGGGGCTCCTTATCTGAAAGGCCCGGGGAGTTCTCAGGGAGACTGCCAACAGTGTGCACATACAAACACAGGTGTGCACCACACAGCATGCACCACGTCCTGTGCACAAGCACACTTGCACCTAGCTGACGTGTGGAATCACTAGGATCATTGACATTACAAAGGTTACGATTCTGATTTTTCTTTCAGAAGAACCTGCACAGTCAGGCAGGAGGCAAAGGAAGGCAGGGACAGAAGGACAGGCATCTTTCTGAGCCAAAGGCATTGGGGTCCGGAAGTGCAGGCTGAACCCCTTGGCTCACTTAGTGCCTGGAGCCCAGGGGGCCCCCAATTTGGCAAATGGTGACAGAACACAGAACGTCCGTGTGTCAGGGATATCCCATTTTGTTTCTGTTCCATCACCTCGAATCCCTCGCTTCCACTTCTTTCCAAAGCCGGTGTCCCTTCCAGAAGAGCCAGTCTCCACAGCGCCTGGAGCAGAAAGCAGGGCTGTTGGCTCCGAGTCCCTGGCAACGAGGGACCCAGCTCCAAACCCTGTGCTTTTGCTTTTGACTTCCTCTGTGAGGACTAGAGGTGGGAGCACTGGGCACACACAGAGCCACCTCAGGACCCCACTGGCCACATGGGAGGAACCCCCGAGGGATCTGCAGGTGGCCTCTCAGACTCTGTGACATGGACCATGCTTTATGTGACTTTAAAGATTTTTGGAAACCTGTGGTAGAATCATGTCAGGTTTGAAGCAGAAAATGCACAGGGTGGTTCCTCTCCTCAGTGGGACCCTTCTGCACAGGGACTGCGGCTGACTCACCAGCTAGTGCCATCTATGCACCTGCATCACAGACCTACCTGGAGAGCTGAGTCCTCTCCAACAGAACGCCCAGGGTCAGGGAGGGGTCAACGTGTGTTAGAGCATATGAGGGGCATCTGGCCCTGTGACCAGGCCTCGGTCCTGGGGAGCCTGCACCCTGACCGGGCATCAAACCTGGAGACCTGGTCCTCGAGCTCACCGCCACACACGGTGAAGTCATCAGGAACACATGCTGCCTGGAGTGGAGCGTTCCCCTGGGCGTAGAGCACCTGCTGGTTAGAACTGGAAGGTACTCAGGTAAGATCCTAGCAAGAACTGGGGGATTAAAATCTAAAGTAACCTCCATAATAAATCAAACAAGTTGGTAAAAACCTTGTAACCTGCATTAAGTTTATCTTTTAAAATATATCATCTGTTGTTACGCTTCTAAATGTGTCTGTATACCAACTTAACCAGCACATGTTCTGAACATGCTGGAATGGTTTTTTAGAACCTTTAGCAGGATTCTTGCAATGTGACCCAGAATCCAGCCCCATGGGAGCTCAGCTCAGTGCCTCCTGGCTGTAGACCCCCTGCTCCGGCTGGGGCCTGGGACAAGGGCAGTGTTTCGGTGATCACAGCTTTAGAACAAACCTCAGGCGCCTAGGATACCACAGCTTGCACCCCCGTGTGGAATCCGCTCTGAGGCGGGGCCTCCTGCTCACCCAATGCCTGTGGGCTGGCTCTGCCCCAGCCTGAGCTGGCCAGGGGTGGCCTGCAGCCACAGGGCGAACCTACCCTGGAGCAGGGCCTTAGGTGACTCTTGCAGGGACAGAATTTGCAACCTGTGACAACACTCTACCTGCAGGCAACTCAGGTGTCCCATGTGGCTTCACTGGGCAGAGGGCCCTTGCCCCCTCCTTTGTGGCAGCAGTCCCAACCACTCCAGGTGCTCAGTGGCCCCAGGAGCTGCTTAGGGGGACAGAGTTGTAGGTCCTTGAGGCAGAGCGTCCCTGATAGTGGCTGGATATGCACAGTCTTGGGCTCAGCACCATTAGTGGGGACATGGCTTGGGTCAGAGATCCAGAGTGTCCCCAAAGCAACAAAGCACTTATATGACAAGTTACCCAGAAAGGGTCGTGGTGGGGTGGATCCCAAACAGGAGAAGAAGCTCAGCAGGTATTCTGAGGCTCAGCCAGTCTGGGAAACGGGCATTTGTCTAAGTATGGGGAAAGTGGCTCAGTGTCTCCATTACTTTGTGGTGTGTTACAGCCGAGATCTGAGTCTGGGCAGCCTTTGGTCAAGTCCACGCTTGAAGCACGTAGAAATGCCTGCTCTTCAGAGAAGCGGGAGAGGGTTTTCTACGACATTTTGGCAATAGTTCTCTTTGTAAATCCAATGTATTTTTTAATAAGTCATTTAGGAAAGATAGAAGTGATTTAAGGAACGCAGGTGCCATGGTTTGTCATGTTTTGGAAACTTACCCCAACCAGCAGTGCTGAGCCGTGGACCTAAGGACACGGCTCTGCCTGTGCAGTAACGAGCGCAGGTGCAGCTGGAGGGTCAGTGGCAGTGGGCGTGGGCGTGGGTGTGGGTGTGTTCATCTCTGGTTCCTTCTCCTGCATGTAGGTGCAGCAGTGACACCATCTCACCTGCCTCCAGAACCACGAGCCAAATCAGCCTCCACTGCTTCTAAATCACCCAGATTGTGTTTTGATAGAGCAGCCAGAAGTGCACTAGGACAGTGCACCTACATTTAATTCCTCAATTATTTTTCTAAGAGCATTTCTAAGAGCTAGTAGGAAGAGTTCTGCATGCATATTTGAATCACTGACTTTCTTCAGATTAAAAAGTCAACTGTAAACCCTGCACTTAAGAAGTTTTATGCTTCTACCCATGAAGGCCAAAGGCAATTGAAGGACTTTGAGAAGCGGCCAGAACTCCATCACCAATGACTTCACATCCTCTGCGCTTCCCATGCAGGGGAGGCCTTCCTCACATGACAGGAGAATCCAGTTGCTGCTATGGCAAGTACTGCAAAATGGACAGCTGAAGAACACACTTTCTCTGAGCCCAGGAGTTCTCCAGGTAAGGATTGGGCCAGTGTTTTTCTCCACTGAGGTCACTTGTGGTATTCAGCTGGCGCTGGAGTTGGTCTGGGGACCATATGGCTGGACTCCCCTGTCTGGCCCTTGGTGGGGAAGGCAGGTCCTCTGCAGGAGGACTTCTTTCAGGGGAGCTGCCTCAGAGGTCATGCTGGCCCACTCATCATCTCCTGGTTACAGACAGGCCGTGAGGCCAACTGCAATGGAAAGGACAGGACCAGAAGCCACCTCTTGCTGAAGCAGTGCAACACACTGGGTGGGAGACCTGTTGTGAAAATACAGTCTACTCTGTGGCCACACTCCACACACTTGCCCAAGACCCCGGGGCCTCGCCCCTTCAGCATCCCACTCCAGGACCCGTCAGGATCCTGCATGATGAAGCACTTTGCGTAGTTCCTCAGGATTAGTGGCTCAGGGACATTTCCTTCTCAGCCCAAAGAGTTGGGACCTTGAGAGGCCAGGGCCCTGACTCCCAGTAGTAGTGGGACAGGGACCAGGTGCCACAGTAGACAGGCCCACCCGAAGGGGTACCGTGAAAGGCATGAAGTGTGCACTGTCCACAACAATCCTGAGATCCAGCCCAACGCAGGGACACACTGCTCCCGATGGCCCCCATGGCTGCAATTCTGGCTTTGGGCCTTGACCCCGCCCGCTTTGAGTCAGAGGCTTCTATTGCATTACTTTGGGCTTGTTTAGTCCACACTAGTGTTGACTCTGATGGTATCATTCTCCTGATAACTTGCAGCTTTCCATGAATGTTATGGATGTTCACCCAATTGGCAAATCCAATCGATGGTGAGTACCAGTAATTGAACTCAGACACACTCAATCACTGAGCCACATCTCCAGTCCTATTTTGTATTTTCTTTAGAGACAGAGTCTCACTGAGTTGCTTAGCACCTCACTTTTCCTGAGGCTGGTTTGAACTAGAAATCCTCCTGCCTCAGCCTCCCGAGCTGCTGGGATTACAAGTGTGCACCACCGCGCCTGGCTCTGATTATCTTTTAAACAGGCTCTTTCCTATTTTGGGCTCCTTTTGAGAGAGTGTTGTGAAGCAATGCTCTTAAGATTCTTGGAAGGGCTAATTAATGAGGGCCTGAAAAGACCTTCACAGAGGCCTTTGCTCACTGAAAGGAGCAATTCAAATCTGAACACAGGAGTTTTATAGCCCCAGCCTATTTTACAGACAGGTCTTCCTGACAGTGTCCTGGATTCCATCTTTGCCGTGAGCCCTTTTCTTTGAGAATCTTCTGCTGGGAGAACCTGGTGGTGCAGGATTCAAGAGTATGAGAATGGAAACCCAGGCCTCAAATCCTAAACTTAAATCATACCCAATGACTTTTGCCACTTCTCTAGGTTAAAGCACACCCTCTGGCCACCCTAGACTCGAGGGGCCTGCCCTTGCTGTAGGTAACTGGAGTGGGATGGCCTTTGCAATCTCCCAAGGTTGGCCTGTTGGCCACAAAATATTTACATTGGTCAACCTTGTTCGCCTTCTGGTAGGACCCCGAGTCTCGCCCGTACCTGGTTTAAACCAGGCCTGGCAGCAGCTGAGGCTCCTTGGTAGCATCTCTTCTTGTTCCAGAGGTTTGGAAGCTAATATAATATAACACGCTGTGCCCCTCCACACCCCCTGGAGAGACACCAGGAAAGCACAAGCAGTGCTGCCACTCAAAATGGGGAGGAAGAAGTGCAAGGAAGTCGAAGACTTGAAATCTGTGGGGCAAACACTCTTGAATTCCTCAGCCTCAGTGCAAGAAAACTCTGGTGTGAGCCCAGCTCCACTCCAAAGGGCTCTGGATCCATTGTTGTTTGCTTTCCCCAGGAACCCATCTTGTCGGAGACCACCTTCCATCCCAAGAGAGGCCTTTGCAGCAGGCAGATTTCACAGCATTCTTGCCCGAAGGAGGGTGCAGGGTCATAAGAGTCCCCTGTTCAATTTCAGCTGTCTCAGTGTATAGCAGCAGGGGAGTGCTCTTGCCAGTACGCATTTCTTAATGATGTTCCTGAGCATTGCCCCATCGTAGAAAGAGACCACTGTCTGTGGATGGGCCATGATCTTAAAGTAGGACAGAAGAGACTGGACAGCTGAGGAATTTTTCAGGAAATAGGTTTATTGACTGCAGGGTTCAGAGGTGGCTCTCACATAAGAATTCACCCTCTGAACATGAATACAGAAATTCTTTGAACTTATTGGTGGGGGCTAGGAGGTTCATATGACAAGAGCGTTCCCTTCCATCCTCTAGAGGAGTTTTACGAGTTTTTCCTGCAAACCTGGCATTTATAAATAAAGACGAAGCTACAAAACACAGTGCCTTCTGCAGATTGTTGCTGATAGCTGATGTCCTATGCAAAAAGCTCTCTGATAAGAAGAGCAACTTATATACCACAAATATGGTGAGGGTTTCTGCTTAATTATGGTAAGGGTCTTCTGGGTGGGGGTCTCTGGCCTGCTTCAGTCTGTGTGTGGATAAGCGACAACCTGTGCCCATGTTCCTGTTGACTGACACACAAATATTATCAGCCTTTTGCTATTATAACTAAAATTCCCATGAACATCCTCAGACAAGGCTGCTTTGGATGTACGTTTTCATTTCTCTTGGGATTTTTTTTCTGGGCCACTATGCCCCCACAATCATACGTTGAAGCCAAGGTGAACTGAGGTCTTAAGGAGGTAACGAGGTTCAGTGAGGTCATGAGAAGGACCAGCCAACAGCACTGAGACTGAGAAAATGTCCGCGTAGGTCCCCAGTCCGGGGCACGTGGCTTCTGCAGTCCCAGAAGACTGGCTGTTGAAGGAATAGGGTTTCCTAAGGTCGTAGACTGAGGTGGTTTCCTGCTGGTGGCTGGTTGTCACCTCAAGAGTACCTAGGGGTCCTCGCCACGGGGTTGCTCCGCTCGTGGCTACTGGTTTTTATCAAAGCCGACAAGAGACTCACTAACATGGACCCTGGGGCCGCTCTTGTCCCTACCCCCCAACCCCAGGCCTCTCCCTATCCGCAGCAGGAACCCCAGGCCGCTCTCTATCCCGATCCCCCACCAGGGCTCCCGGGCCGCTGCCTATCCTTATCCCCAGCAGGACGCCACCCCGACCTCCCCGTGAGCCGACCTCGAGCGTAACCCGTGGGGCCAAGCTGCCAAGCACGTGGGCTCGGAGCCTCGGGCCCTGGGCGGGGCCTCCTTCTCCACGGCTTCTGTGTACTGCGCCTGCGCGGGCCCTGGGCAGCCGTTCCGCTTCCGGGACTGCGAAGCACCTACGGACTGCGCCTGCGCGGGAGGCTGGGACCTGGGCGGGTCCGGCTTTGGGGACGGCGCGCGCGCACTGCGTCTGCGCGAGTCGAGGGCGGCGGCCCAGGCTTCTGGTAGGGATCGTCTGCCCCTCTGCGGTGTAGGCGCAGAACTCAGCGGAGAAACGCGGCCGAGGTAGGTTTTCAGATGGGCAGCTCAGGCACCTGGATCGCGGGCACGGCAAGACCTAGTAGGTGAGCGATCCTCGTCATGCGAGTACGTCGCTGGTGGACCGAGGCCGCCGCCCGCTCCCGGAACCCCGCGGTCTGCACGGTGCGCTGGCGGCTGACCGCTAGCTGGGGCCCGCCCCGCCCCCATTCAGCCACACCCCTCTCTACGTGCCCCACCTCCCGGGCCAGCGCCCCCGGACCACGCCCGCCCCGTGTCCCGCCTTTATGGTCCACCCCCATCTCCTAGCGCCACTTTCCTTTCCAATGGCTTGGCCTTTCTTCCCATCCCCAATCCTTCGAGGGCCATGCCCCTCCAACGCCACACCCTCAGGGCCACACCCTTCTCAGTGCCACGCCCTCTGGACATACCCACCCCAGTGCTATCGCACCTGGCCAAAGTCTTCTCAATCCTCCCCACATCCCTATAGGGACACACCCACCCCAATGCCTGGCCCAGAAGACTCATCTTTCCCACCACTACGTCCTCCAGGGCCATGCCTACCCAGCACCAGGCCCTCCAGAGCCACACCCTTTCAGTACCACGCCCTCCAGGGCCACGCCCTTCTCAGTCCACACCCTCCAAGGCATGCCCACCCAGCCCCAGGCCCTCCAGGGCCACGCCCTTCCCAGCACCACACCCTCCAAGGCATGCCCGCCCAGCCCCAGGCCCTCCAGGGCCACGCCCTTC